ACTCAGCCATAAGAAACGATGAAATCCAGCCATTTGTGACAACACGGACGGACATTGAGGGTATTGTGCTAAATGAAATAAGTCAGAGGAAGAAGGTCAAATACCGTATGATCTCACTCATAAGTAGTAGATAAAAACAACAACAAACAAACACATAGAGACAGAGATTGGATTGGTGGTTACCAGAGGTGAGGAGGGGAAGGAGGAGAGCGAAAGGGATGATTAAGCAAATGTGTGTGGTGATGGACTGTAATTAGTATTTGGGTCGTGAACACGATGTAATCCATGCAGAAATAGAAGTATAATGATGTACACCTGAAATTTATACAATGTTATAAACCAATGTTACTGCAATAAAAATAAATAAATTATAATAAAATAAAATCTAAAAAAAAAAAACTATACAAGCAGTATACAGAAGTGGTAAAATCATAGTGAAGTGGTTAAAAGCCAGGTATGAATTCTAGCTCTACTACTTACTAGCAGTCTAACTTTGGCCAAATAACTTAACCTCTTTGTGCCTCAATTTCCTCATCTGTAAAATGGCGATAATAACAGGGTAGTGAGCAGGATTAAGAGTGTTAATATTTATAAAACGTTTATAACAGTGCCCAAAACATTCTAAGTGCTATATGTTATTTTTTCCCCCTTCATTAATAGTTTTGGAAATGAAGAATGGACTGTTCCAGTTCTAGATATATGAATTTTTTCATAGTTCTAGATGTCTGAAATCTTTTACAATTACCTTTTTGTTTACTTGAGTTTAGGTTTGGATGATGAAGATACATAAAATGAGAAAAGGGGGAAGATGGAGAGGTCTTTTTATTGAGGATATTAAAGGCTGAAATTTTCCACCTGAAAAGGAAGAAGCTGAGCATGAAATGATTAAAATGTGTATGTATATGAACACAAAGGGCTAGGCAAAATAGACTTGACTTTTTCTTCTTGGCCAAATCTTTAAATAATAGGAAAAAGATCTGACAGTGACAGAGAACATAAATGCACCAAAGGACTAGCCAGCACATAACAGCACTTACTACGTACAAGGCACCACACACATTACACGTATGATGTCTCACTAATCTCATCCATGGTGTAGATACTACTAATACTCTTCTTACACAGAAAAGGCTTGGAAAAGTTAACCAAAGTCACAAACCTTGTAAATGTATGAGGCAGATGGAAAAACAATCTGACTCCAGAATCTGGGTTCTAAGTCTAAACAAATTTAGGAAACACAGAATTACACTAAAAATGACTACTATCAGAAGCTGGGACATATCTAACAACTAACTTGATGTTTAAGGAGCTTAAATATTCTCTTCTTTAGCACAAAAGTCTTTGGATGCCAACACAGACAATGGAAACTAGATAAAATAGACTATTAGTCTTTCTCTGTAAAGTGATTCTCACTTTGCTGGGAAAAATTAGGAACTTTCAAATGACAATAAATATTTTACAATTATTAAAAATAAAGGACATATGACTTGGAAATCAGGAGAACACTAACATGTCCTATTGACTTGTAAGTGGATAATCGATCTAGCTATTTTTACCTCTTTAATCCAATGGCGGTATTCATTAACACCAAAAGTTTTTTTCATCCAAAGTCCATAAATATAGCCTGAAATTCCCTTCAGTACCCATTCATCAGACCTAAGCAAAAAGTCAAAATATAAACTTCTTTTAATCATAAAAATTCTTCAGATAAGGACAAAGAGGATAATGGAACAAGCACAGAATGTTCTTCTCTGCCTTCTTAACAAATTTCTTGGTTTTCTTACTTCCTCACCTAAGTTCTACTTGTTCTTGCATTATACCTTCTTCACATCTGGCTTCACTTTTAATTATAAGACTGCTTTACAGTCTTATTCCAAGTATAATCTACCTATGTTTGTGTTCTGTTCTGGCAGTGCTGCGTCCCTCATGCCCAACTCTGTCCACACTGTCTGCTTCTAAGGAAATAGTTGCCCATAGCCAGGACTGTATTGCTCAATTCTTAAAGTCCACATTCTATTATTGCCAATTCCATGCATAATTATCAGTGGAATTCCAGGACCTACAGTTTAATTACTTAATTATTTTTTGGTTTCTCAAGAGGAAACGCAATCGACACCACTCATTCATTTATTCATTAGTATATTTATCCATTCATTCATTCAAACATTTTGCCTACCATGTTCCAAGGCATTATTCTTTAATGAAACTATGTAATTTTAGGAAAATTACAAATAAAGAGGCCTTACCCTCTGCCCTGTCCCTTCCAACAAGAAAGAAAAAGAAACCAAGATTCATATACAACACATAATGGTCACATTTATAAATTATAATCTTAAGAAAGTTTCATGTATTTCCTCAAATTTATCTCAAGTTAATCAAAAAGAAAATAAAAAGTGTTCTTATCTCTCTCATCTTTCAAGTAAATTACTACAAAGCTAGGCACTAGCAGGAAAATCCCTATATCACTATTATAGAGGACTGTTATCTTGCCTTAAACATTATCTTGAACATAACCAATTGCACTAAACATTGACATTAAAATCTAACTATAATTTTCTGTACATTCAAATCCTTATATCTATAGCATTTATTCAGTTTCTTAAGAAATTGTTGCTCAAAATTCTTATCTTATTCTTATTGCAAATTGCAGACCTGTGTATGTTGAATTCATGGTGAAAAATCTAGGATGAAATTTATACTCATTATTTTTCTTTAAATACCTATAGAATAGTGTCTTTTAAATAAACTATCTGCAGTTAGGACAAAGGTCAGCTTACATTGCAGGAAAAAAAAAAAAATTTCTGGATTCTTTTTCTCAGTAGTTGTAAACTTTGAAATTACTCACCAAGACATTCTGGATATGAAACATCCGAAAAACTGCTGGGCCAAGGACTGGGCTAAACATCTTCTGGTCAAAGGCGTCTCATCTATAATCATGGCACTGTGTAACAGATTTGTGCTGGGAATTTAAGAGAAGAGATTGTCAATTATAACCAGAAATAAATTATTCAGTCAAAATAAAGTAATCACACTTTTAAAATAATGGAATTCAAGTTAAACATAAAAGAAAAAAACAAGAATAGTCTCTCAAAGAGCTTTCACATCTTTTGAAATTTTAGCTGAAATCCATAATCTTAACAACTTTTGCTTAAAGCAAGTACTGCAATGTTTCCTATTGATTTCTATGAAAAATATAAACATCTCTTTTTGGGGGTAGGGGAAGCATCATTAATCAGAAACTGATATGCTAATCAGAAACTGAACCTCCTACAAAGAGCTCTTCTAATTTCAGAATTCTTTCCCTAATAATAACTATTAATTTTTTGTGCCCTATTATTTCCTTTTAAATATATTGACCCATTAGACCTTGTAACAATACTTTGGAGAATGCGGGAGCAGTATTTATTATCCCCACTTTACAGATGAGAAAATTTAGGCCTAGAAAGACTAAAATGGTTCAGCTTGAGACATAAAACTTCTAAATTTGGAACTTTGCAAGGAATGAAAGAAAGAAAGGAAAGAAGTAAAGAAGGTAGAAAAAGAAAGAAAACGAAGTTCGTTCTTTTTTTTTTTGCAAACAAATTTCTGACAATATCAATAAATTTTTAAATTGTGCTAGGAAGAAAAACCCCACTAGATATCTACATAATAACTTGTATGGTTTTTTAAAATGCATAAGCAGAAAAGAGACTAAAAGAAATATGTAAAATGTTAGTATCAGTTAATTCTGGATGAAAATAATATGAGCCTTCCGGATTATTTTGAAATTTTCTTTATTATGTTTTTCCGCATTTTTAAATTTTTAAAATACTAGATTTTCGAAAAACCCAACCATATCTAAATTAAAGGGAAAAAGTTCAAAACATCTTAAAATTGATCCTAAAATAACTAACCTGTCTTCACATCATCACCCAAATTTAAGCATTTCAAATTTGAAGAGATACCGACCTAAAAATGCTCATGGAAGCATAAGCAGCCACTTCAACATAAGCCTCATCAATGAATACAGTCTTAAAACAGGAGTATGGGTATCGACACGTAAGAATTTCTTCATAAAATTCAAAAACTTCATGAAGATATGATGTGGTATGTTTAAGCAATGGAAGAAGCTGAGGCAAACAAAAATGAGTAACCTGAAAATAAAAAGCAGGGAAGAAGATTAAAAGAGATAACTTTAATATTTTAAATTTCCTAAATATCTCAATTATAAAGCTTCATGTAGGGCCAGCCCCATGGTGTAGTGGTTAAGTTCGTGCACTCTGCTTCGGTGGCCCGGGGTTCATGGGTTCAGATCCCGGCCATGGACCTATACCACTCATTAGCCATGCTGTGGCAGCAACCCATATACAAAATAGATGAAGACTGGCACAGATGTTAGCTCAGGGCTAATCTTCCTCAAGCAAAAAAAAAAAAACCTTCATATAATTTTTTTTTTTTTTTTTTTTTACAAATTCATGGCACTGAAAGAAAATGCTGGTGTAAAATTAGTGATTACTTTTACTGACTACAAAAGATTCATTGTCCTTAAAAATTAAATTCTTATGGATTATAAGTCCGTGAAATACTTAGATCCAATCAAAATATAACTTTGGTTTAAAATTAAATAAAAATTTCTTCTGCATATGTATACAAAACAAGAAAGATCTAAATTTCCAAGACCTATTTTAAATCTACCTTTGATTCATAAATATCTAACCTAGTGAATACTGCACATCATAGTACTATCTTAATAATTAATAGTCAATATAAATCATACTATCTTCAGTATGTATAAAGAACAGTTACTGTAGTCCTCCTCTAATATCTCAACTACATATTGAAAGGTGCAGGGAAGCTTACTGGTAGTCAGGAGATAAGAAATGCCAGCAATAGAAACAGTAATTCTAGGGCTGGCCCCGTGGCTTAGCGGTTGAGTGCGCGCGCTCCGCTACTGGCGGCCCAGGTACAGATCCCGGGCACGCACCGATGCACCGCTTCTCCAGCCATGCTGAGGCCGCGCCCCACATGCAGCAGCTGGAGGGATGTGCAGCTATGACATGCAGCTATCTGCTGGGGCTTTGGGGGAAAAAAGAGAAGGACTGGCAATAGATGTTGGCTCAGAGCCGGTCCTGCTCAGCAAAAGGAGGAGGATTGGCACAGATGTTGGCTCAGGGCTGATCTTCCTCACAAAAAAAAAATAATTAAAAAAAAGAAATAGTAATTCTGATTTTCTTACGACATTACATCACACCTTGGACCCAGACACTCAAATATCACATACCATTTCATTGTCCCACATTATGACTCTATGCCAAATGAAGAGCATCAACAATGACAGATCACTCTTAATAGAGTGACTCAGTAATGTTTCATGCAGGAGACTGAATCTGAGCTAATCTTTTTGAATTGGACAAAGGACAATCTGATAGGCAAGTATAGGAAAAAAAGACATCCTAAACAGAGTCAAAGATAGGAAGAAATACAGTAAGGTCAAGAAAATCCAAGTAAACTATGCTACATATAAGAAACATACATAGGAAAGTAATAGGGAAAAAAGCTAAAAAGAATAATTAATTGGGGTCAAATTCCAGAAGATCTTGAAAACCATGCTAAAGAGTTCTGATTACTACAGGACTGTGGATGTGAGGAAAGTTTTTAATGTATGATAAAAATTATTCTTCCAACACCCTTATGAAAGAACAGATTAGAAACTACCATAAATGAATGATGAGCATCTATGTATTATTAATAGTCAGGGCCCAAAATGCATCACAATTAGCACTCCTCTTGGTACACAAACAAAAAGTAAATTAATAGTCATCAAAAAAATGATTCGCTTTTAGACAAACCTACATGATAGCAAATCTATCGATAATGCGGTAAAAACTATTTATTTGAGAAAGACTAAGTCATAGGTTCTAAGCATTCAGGAAAAATACTTCTTGACTGTCATTTACCTTTCTCCTATCCAATGGCTCAGAGTAGGAAAAAAATTCTTCCAAATACAAAGTAGATACTACTCAAATGTTGACTTTAAAGTTGATCATTTACCAAAAATAATAAAATTCACTGCTAATCTTATCAGTGAATACACTTTTAAGAGTCATTGTCAAGACAGCAACAGCAACACCATTTATAAAATATCTTGAATATTTTCCATGAGTGATCTTATAAATCTTGTAAATTTCAGGAAAGAAAATATAAGAGCAGACTGAGGAGCTCACTGACAATCTAAACCTGGGTGCCCTCAATTTTTGCTTGTATAACTGAAAGAAATGCTGTTGAGATATACATGGTCACACTAAAAGCATTATATTAAAATAAAAAAAAAAAACTAAACTAAGTAAAATTGAAAACATAAAGGACTAAGAGTAAATGAAGAGGGATTCATCCAAATGTTACTTTAAAGATGTATGAGCCAAGAGGGTCAATAACCAATGAACCACTTTCTAACCACCAGAAGTCTCATGCTTCAGGAAGCCTAAATGCACTATTCGGACTATGAATTGATATATGATTTGTGGCAAGATATGAGATGGGAGGAAACTGAGAAAAGCCTTCACGAGTGTGTTGACCAGAATCCTAAGCTTGCCTCAACCTTTCCTCCTTTTCGCTGTATATGCTGAAGTGAGAACAAATCTTTCTTTTTAATTCTGAGATTGCAATATTTCAGATTCCAGAGATGGAATCTCTGAGACTATAACATTCATAAACATATGCCGAACAAAAAGATGATATTAATAATGAACAGAATTAGTTACAGAAATCAACCCATACTCTAATCAAAGTATACTTGAAGCTCTTTTGGACTGCTAAGCCCTCTGGGGAAAAAAATCTGAAATTTTAATATGAAAACATTTTGAAAGAAATTCATTCAAGAATTCACATCATTAAATGTATCAGATAAGGAAACCTTTTCTCTCCAGTGATATTCTTGATAGTTGAAAGAAGAGTTACGAAAAACTTAGTATTTCATTAATATCCTTCTTTTTATCAGGATTGAAAGGGTCTCCCACCTTTCAAGAGAAAGGAGCAAGAAGCTATGATTTACCTCATGCATATATGGATCTACAAGTATTTCAAAAGGTCCAATAGCCAAAGAGATGTTTGATGCAGCTGTCGGAATGGTAAGCATGTAATGGAAGGTCTTCTTCCTCATATCATGGGTATACACTGTCTCCACCAAATCTCCATTGGAAACAGCCACCATTGCAGCATCTACTGTAAATTCTAATTTCCATGTACATAATTCTGAGTATGAATCAACACATGGGAACCAAAATCTAGAAAACAGATCAACAGTACAGAAAATATGTTGAAAGCATAACCTACGTTGCTTTCCTCACATAAGTTATTTTAACATTTATAGAATACGTATAAAAAGAAACTTTAGTTATTTGCCTGCTGAAGCTTTTTTACCGCACAACTTGAAAGAATTTGATTCAAGATAGAAACCTGTCTCCAAATATTATTTGGCAATATTAAGAAAATATATCTTGTGGTACCTCCATTTCACACCCTAAAAACGAAGTAAGCAATTCTTAGTTTCCACTATCTAAATTAAAAATAATTTTCACTTGTATATTCACATCAGCCAGTTTTTATGTAGCATTTATTTCCAGAAACTAAAAAAAGCTGATAATAAAGTTTTAAAAAACACAATATTCAGAATCTATTCAATAAGTTAGGAAACTGCTTTTTTGGAGTATGGGATATATTGTATAAAATCAAACACAAATAAAGCCAGATATAAAATTTCTATTTGACTTTCTATCAATTCAGGTCAGGCTTTATTATGTGCCAGGGTCTGTACTTGGTACTGAAACACAAAGAAGTATAAGACACCATCCCTGGCTTGGAAAAGTTAATAATCTGAACATTATGAATAATAATCGAGGAGACTACACATATTATAAAATAATATTTCAATAACATGTAGTGGGGCCAGCCCCGTGGCTTAGCAGTTAAGTGCGTGCGCTCCGCTGCTGGCGGCCCGGGTTCGGATCCCAGGCGCGCACCGACGCACCACTTCTCCGGCCATGCTGAGGCCGCGTCCCACGTACAGCAACTAGAAGTTGTATGTGCAACTATGACATACAACTATCTACTGGGGCTTTGGGGGAAAAATAAATAAATAAACAAATAAAATTATAAAAAAAAAAAGAAAGATTAAAAAAATAATAACATGTAGTGAACTATAGAGCTATGAGAATGAACTACAATTACAAACAACAATGAAGGTAAATCTCACTACCACAGTGTTGAACAAAAAAAGCCAGAAATGAGCATAATGCATGTGCTTCCATTTATATAAAGTTCAAAAACAGGTGCAAATAATCTATGGTATTATAGAAATCAGGACAGTGGTTACCCTTGAGCAGTAGGATGTGAGGGGGGAAGTAGCGAATGAAAGTGGGTGGGAGAGGGAACTCTGTGATGCTGGTAATGTTGTTTTTCTTCATGTGAGTGTGACTTACGTGGATTTGTTCACTTGTGAAAATTTACTGAACTTTCTATTTACAATTTATGTAATTTTCTGATGTTATTTTACTTCGATATAAAGTTAAAAAAATAAAAGAAAGCATTGAGAAGATTTTAGGAAAGAAGAGAAGACATATGATTGAGGAGGAATAACTAATGGAACAAGATTCAGAAGAGGTAAAAGAAGTTTGGGGATTAAGCTCATACTTCTTATTTTACACTAAATACATGTATTGCATACAAACCGAAAAAAATGCAATTAGAAAATGAAATTAACTGCAATATATAAGAATTAATAATCTACCTTGTGGAATTTTGATACCCACAAGAGAAAACATGAGCACCTCTCTCTGCCATACTTCCCTCTACACTGGGTACCACAAAATGAAGACCTCCTTTTGGCTGATCCAAAGAAAAATTGATGTGTATCTTTAGGACCTTTAATTCTGCAACAAATAAATACACAAATAAATTGATACATAAATATGTAATTAAGTAACAATGGTCTATAACAAGGGCAAAGACTTAGACTGAACATAAAATGGGTCTCAAAGGCTGAGTTTTACACGAAAAACCACACTACTTACCCTAGTTTAGGCTTTCACCATCTCTCTGCCTATTTTAACTCAATAGCCTGCCTCCACTGGTGTCCTTACCTCCACTGGATTCTAGCCATTGCTAGCTGTGTTCTCCCAAAATATAGCTCTGGTCATGCCATATCCTGCTCTTAACATTTCTGACAATGCTATACTGCCTAAAGAAAACAGTTCAAAACTACAAAACAGGAACACTTAAGGCCTTACAAATCTAATTCAAAACTTACTTCTCAAGTTTGTTCTCTTATTACATTCTCCCACAGACTGTTAACCCTAGTTGATTTTGGGGAGTAGGAGAAGGAGGGGGGGCGGGGGGAGGACTACCTGAGAATTTACATTATGCATTACTTATTGTTGTTTGATTTTTACATAATATGTGTTGCTTTCATAATAAGATTAAAGATGTTTCTTTTAACTTCTCCCAAAACATTATAACCACATGGACTATCTCCAATCCCTGAACATGCAATGATGACCTTCCATGCCAGTCCCCTTAATTGGGCAAACTCCCTCCACTGAAAAAATACCCCCCACACACAAAAAAAACTATCAAAAAAAAAGCAAAAGCAAAACAAAAAGTCTTTTACTTTCTTATCTTAGTTAACTTTCATAAGGCTAAATAAAGGTAGGCAGAAGGTTACGTATAATAATTATAATGGCTGTAACTTTATACAAGAGAAAATGAAGATTTAGAAATAATAAGAGTACGCTCAAAAGTATGCAGAGCGGGTGTTAGGAACCCTATGTTCTAGCCTTGACTCTACTACTAATTAGTGACCTTCGGCAGGTCATTTACTTTCTTTGGACTTCAGATAATTCTTCTGTAAAAGAAAGGAACTAAACCAGATGATTTTTTAGAATCCTTCCTACTATAAAATGCTATAATTCTAAACTGATCTGACATTGTGTGGGTTCTCAAATCCTGACAAACTGTTCCATCCAGCTAACTTTTTTTTTTATTGAGGTCATAATAGTCTATAACATTGTGAAATTTCAGTTGTACATTATTTGTCAGTCACCATATATATGTGCCCCTTTACCCCCACGCCCACCCCCTAACCCCCTTCCCCTCTGGTAACCACTAATCTGTTCTCTTTGTCCATGTGTTTGTTTATCTTCCACATATGAGTGAAATCATACAGTGCTTGTCTTTCTCTGGCCAGCTTATTTCGCTTAACATAACACTATCTAACTTTTTTTATAACTTGCATTTTAAAAACAACAGTGAAATGAGTTGCTCTTTTCTCATAGCCCTTGATTACTATTTTCCCGTTACCCAGTGATCCTTAAAGAAAAAAGAGCTTCTAATTCCTATATATTTCAACAGATTAATTTACAATTTTGAGATCATTAATTTTCATGTAAAAGTTTCTATTCACTCAATCTAACATGATTTTATTATACAGTCAATATAGTCTCGGTAATTTACCATCAACGTGTTTCCATAATTCTGATGGAACCTTAATGCAAAGTTCTCCATTTCCCGCATCAGGATCCACAGCACTAACCGCAGCTGCATAAGCATTGGAAAAATAATTGAGATTTCTCCTGGAAAAAAAAAAAGCCAACTTGAACCATAAGCCACATATTTCACCAAGTATTTTCTTAAATATTTAGCACCATTTGTTTGTAAGCACTATATCATCTTCCATAATTCATAAGAACACTTTTTTGCTAAGTAACTGTCATTCTACTCACCACGACAAAAATTATTAAACTGTAAGTACAATGGCATATACAGTCTACTCACCAATGCTATGTGATTATTATTATGATTATCACATTCTTCATTAATTTTGGAATGCCAAAGCCAGTACACTTTCCTGATACAAATATAAAGAATATATGTAGAATTGAAGAAATAATTATTCTTTATCAATCTGGCAAAAATTTGAATGGATTCAACAAGCTTTATAATGTGACAGAAACTAAGGTGTTTAAAACAAGTCAAGATGGAAATCAATTCTTCAAAATGTAATACTGCTCTCCTTCACTCCCCAGTGCATGGCAATTTAAGCTTAACGAAGGAAGGGAACTTTTGGCTGGTTCACCATTATATCCCCTATACACCAGCGGGTACTCAATAAATATTTGTTTCATAGTTACTTGGCCTTATTTCCTACTGCATGAAAACAATACACAGAAGTCTTACGGAAATATGAAAACACTGTTCTCATCTGGTTTTGTTCTGGAAATCTGGAAATCAACATAACATTCTGGAAGTACTAAACAGACTTTTCAATAATTTTAACACTTTCTTTCTGTTAGATAAATACGTAAAATAAAATGGGTAAAAACTCCAAGACCATAATAAAAGCAAATAACTCCGTGTTTTCATATACCATCTATTTCTTTTTTTAAATATCATACAGTGAAAGTAACTCTTTCTTCTTTGGTATATAATTCTATAAATTTTAACATATGTTTAACCACCACCATAATCAGGGTATAGCACAGCTCCATCATCTCAAAAAGTCCTTTGTGCTATGCCTTGTGTCAAATAATGGAATCATACAGAATGCAACGTTTTGAGGCTTCTCTCACTCAGTATGTCTTTGAAATTCACCTAAGGTGTTACATGTATCAATAGTCTGTTCCTTTTTACACTGAATGTAAATAGTACTCTATTGTATAGACTGTGCCACAGATTGTTTACTATTTATTCATTCACACACTGAAGGACATCTGGGTTGTTTCCAGCTTTTGACTACCACAAATAAAACTGCTATGAACAATTCTGTATCAGTTTTTATGTGAATTTTTTTTTTTTTTAAGATTTTATTTATTTATTTATTTTCCCCCAAAGCCCCAGTAGATAGTTGTATGTCATAGCTGCACATCCTTCCAGTTGCTGTATGTGGGACACGGCCTCAGCATGGCCGGAGAAGCGGTGCGTTGGTGTGCGCCCGGGGTTCCGAACCCGGGCCGCCAGCAGCGGAGCACGCGCACTTAACCGCTAAGCCATGGGGCCGGCCCTTTTATGTGAATTTAATTTTCATTTCTGTAGTACAAATACTGAAGAGTGGGACTGCTGAGTCATATGGTAAATGTATGTTTAGCTTTATAAAAATGCCTGTACCAGGGGCCGGCCCGGTGGCGCAAGCAGTTAAGTGCGGGCGCTCCGCTGCGGCGGCCCAGGGTTCGCTGGTTCGGATCCCGGGCGCGCACCGACGCACTGCTTGGCAAGCCATGCTGTGGCGGCGTCCCATATAAAGTGGAGGAAGATGGGCACGGATGTTAGCCCAGGGCCGGCCTTCCTCAGCAAAAAAAGAGGAGGATTGGCGGATGTTAGCACAGGGCTGATCTCCTCAGAAAAAAAAAAAAAAAAAAAAATGCCTGTACCATTCTGCATTCCCACCAGTAATATATAAAAGTGCCAGCTGCTCTGCATCCTTGTCAGCACTTAGTTAACATACCATCTAACTTTAAAGACTACTTTGTACATCTATAGATTGCAATTTCTTTTCTATAAAATCTCAAAAACATAAAATCTGAAAGATAGCTGAAGAACTTATAATTTTCTCCCAGTTATCTGTGAAATTCAAAAATAAAAAATAATCGTTACACAAAAGGCCAAATTTAAACACATACATATTAGACTGCTCAGTTTACGGGAAATTATTCTCACTTAATCTCCTTGGTTCCTGAGAAAAGGTAAAGTGCTCCAAATAAAATGGTGAGTCATTATAAATGGAATCTATTGGGAAGTCAGTTATGAGGAACAATCTTCTCATGGTTTGGATTTCAGTGTTTCCTTTCATAATATGAATCAAATATGTTTCCTTTCATAATAACCTCATAAAAGCCAAAAATTACAAGGCAAGATTATAATAAGTATTTTCAATTTTTAGAATAATAATGACTGCAAAATATTAATGCCCTTGCCCTATAACCACCACTCTCCCAACCCCCAGACCTCCTCAAGGAAACAAAGTTTAAAGATGAGTAATGCTTGTTGGGGACATGGAAAAACTGGTAAATTAAGGCAATCAAAAGAATTTTTTCCAAGAATCTATTATAAACATCCATATTAAATAAAAATAATCTGTTAATTCTTTGTTCAATAAAGAACGTGCTTTTAAGGTGCAGATTTTACAAAACTTAAGATTCAATTATTTGTAAACTTTTCCTCTATTTTAAAAAAATTTCATAGAAGCACAATATACATTAGGAAAGTATATATACTCTTAAGTATACAGCTCGATGAATTTTCACAAAACCAAAATAGCCAACATGCAGAGCAAGAATAGATCTTTACCAGCCCCCAGAAGCCCCCTTGTAATAACTAACCAAGCCCCACTTCCCACCACCAAGGGTAACCCATTATTCTGACATCTAACTTGATAGATTTAACAACTTAATATATATTATTTTGCGTCTGACTTCTACTCAACATTAAGTTTGTGAGATCCATCCATATTACTGCACGTAGTTGTTGGTCATTCATTCTCATTACTATTTAGAATTCCAATAGTGTGAGAATATACCACAATCTACTGTTCCACCATTGATGAGTCTCCAGGTAATTACCATTTTTGACTATTACAAAGACTGCTGTGAATAATTTTGTAAATATTTTTTGGTGAACACATGAACACGTTTCTATAGGGTGTACATCTAGGAGTGGGACTGCTAATCATAGAGTACACGCATATTCAACCTCAATTTACATTCCTATTAGCAATGTTTGAGAGTTCTAGTTACATCCTTTGTCAACACTCAGTTCTTCTGCTGTCTTTAGTTTAGATAGTTTACATACAGAAAAAAAAAAAATAAGCCAGCCAAAAGAAAAATCCATTTTTCAGAAATGGAACCAATACCAAAATTAATAAAGATGTCTTTCCAACACAGTATTTGATATGATACCATGAAATAAGGGTGCTAAGAGAAAACTCTACTGTAATAGGTTTTTATATGAAAAATCGTAGGGGATTTCACTGATTACAAACTCAAACTTGAGCAAATTACTTAAAGTAGCTATTTGTGAAAAGCTAATAAATCTCAAGCTACTAGAAATACTGAATACAGATAAGGTCAAAAAGGCTCTACTGCTATGCATGCGTTGATTAGCGCAAATAAGAAGAACTATATCTAGTTCTAGGATTACCATATTTAAGAAAACACAAGGTCAAACCAGAGTGTGTTTGGAGAAGGGCAAAGAAAATGGTAACAAATTGGAAACAGTTTTAGATGAGGAATGGCTGAGAGTACGGAGATTCTATAAACTGGAAAAAAAACTTAGGGGAAAACAATATTTATTTAGAATAAGTTTTTGACTATTACAGCAAAAGACTGTAGCTCAACGTAATAAAGAACTTTCTAGCATTTAGAAATAATGAAAGGGGTGCTTTAAAATATAGTGAGCCCTCCAGAGCTGGAAGCATTCAAGCAGAAGGTGGAATAGTATAGGAAAAATTCTTGTTGAAGTTTTGACCAAACGAACCCTAGTGTTACTCCAAGTATGACAACTTATTTCCAAGCAATACTACTAAAACAACTGGCAGTGAGGCATTGAGTCTGAGTTAAAATATAAACTATACATATTACTTAACCATAATCAATAATGGCATCAACTACTTCTACTATATATTATTAGTAAATAATAACATTTAAAGCCCCTTTATTGAAGTCTGTATTAAAATCTAAGACCTAGAAAATCTTAAAAAAAAAAATAGTAATTTTAAAAAATCAATTCTAATCACTCTAAAAAAATCACTCTAATCACTCAATAGCTACTTCATTTGTATCTTAAGAGAGCTTCATTTCTACTGCCATTCCTTAGTGAAAATGAAAGCAGGAGACAGGAATTAAACTGATTCTTAGAACTTTGGAAAGTTGAGACTTTTCAAGCAAAATAAAAAACGTCTTCTCAAAGTGACAAAGCCTGTCTAGGGAAGGGAAAGAAACAAAGAGGAAAGAGAGATGTGAGCCACTATAGGCTACCCATCCACAGAAACAGTTTCTCTGGCAAAGTCTACATTTATTTTATTCTAAGAAGAGACAAACGTAGCAAAAAAACAAACAAACAAAAAACACCAAAGAGCCATAGCTGCTATGAAGGAAAACTATAATCTATCTACAATAAGTAAGATTCAAACACAAAATATATTTGGAGAAACTTCAAGTGCTGCGATTATTTTACTGGCAGATAAGTCAAAGAAAGAGAGAGAGCAAGGAGCCTTGGTTACATGACCAATAGGATTTTTAATTGCTAGTACAGATAATTTAACAACTCAGCTAACTTTTAGTTGGATAAAATAGGTAGAAATGCCTTTTAGTCTCTTATCTAAATGTTTCCCTTCCTTACATTCCCCCTACAATTCAAAGGTGCTGAATCTCAACCAAAGTAAGCATACTCTTTCCACTAAAAATAGGAGAGCCTGGCACCTTAACTTTACAACAAAAACGAATAAAATGTGATGAAGCAGTATATTACTTCTTTGACTGTTAGGAGATTCTTGTATATATTAAAGATCAAATTTTTCCACTGAATTTTAAGATTAACTTTCAATTTCAAAACTGTTATACTTAATTTCTGTTTCAGCTTTAGTGGAAATTTTATTGGTTCATTAAAGAAAGTTACTTTAGAAACAAAAAAGGTAACAGATGTATCTAAGGACAAGCCCAAGACCTTAACTATCTGCCTTTCCCTAAGTTCCCTTCAAAAATACTGTCATCCATGGAGATATTTTTCACATCTAACTGCTACGAAAAGCAGTATTTCTTCTGAATAATAGATATGTTTCTATCTTGTGTCTTATGAATCTTATAAATGTTAGTATTTCCCTCTTTGGTATGGCAACCAGAAATATCAAAACCAAATCTACAGTTTTCCTCTAGTAATCATGCAATAACTTAATAGTGTATACCGACTATCCTATACTTTTTCACCCTTCATACTAATTTCATTATTAAAATTGTTGTCTAATAAAATTCTAAAAGTTTTCTCAAATCCTCTTCTGAACAAGTCAGAGAATAAACACACACCAGCAAAAATAACTAATGTCATCTCTTTTAAAAAGTAATCAAGATTCTAGAACTAGGCAGAAAAGCAGGGGTGTCAGCAAGTATTTACTAAGTGACCACGGCTAACAGAGCTCTGTTCTCTAGCTGAAAAGAAAATTTAAAATATATTCTATCTTTCCTGATTTTCTAACCTAACCTTTGAAAAACTTCTCCTTTATGACTTCTTTTATTTATAACACAAAAAGTGATGAGGCATCTTCCCTATTACTAAAGAAAAATTTTAGGGGATATCATCACTCAAAATAAACACAGCAAAGTAAAGCTTGCTTCCTCGACAGATTTGGAGTCTACTGGTCCTGTCACTGCATTGTCACAGATTATCACTGAGCGACAACAACTGGTAAAGCAGATGTGCAAACACTGTGTTTTGTGACTGGCAGATGGAGAGGCCTCTTACCCTGTCATCAAATGCAGAGCACTAGGCTCAATACGGGAGCCAAGGGGCCGGCCCCATGGCTTAGCGGTTAAGTGCGCGCGCTCCGCTGCTGGCGGCCGGGGTTCGGATCCCGGGCGCACACCGACGCACCGCTTCTCCGGCCATGCTGAGGCTGCGTCCCACATACAGCAACTAGAAGGCTGTGCAACTATGACATACAACTATCTACTGGGGCTTTGGGGGAAAAAAATAAATTAAAAAAAAAAAAATACGGGATCCAATTTTGGCCTTCTGGCAAGGCACTGGCCCCCCTCCCTGCTCTTTTACAGGTGCCTTTTCCATTCATTAGTGGTATATACTCACTCCTTCAAAGGCAGATGATTTTTTTTTCTGAGAAAAAGAGGATGCAGATGATTTTGTATTGTCTTTTTACGTCAGTTCTACAAGTGTGGCTGTAAAAGCACTGTAATTTCAACAACTCACCTTTATGAAATGGCACATTACAGGAGCAATTCAGATTCCCTGAATTTTCCCAACACCATTTTCTTTTTTCTTCTCTGAGTTTGAAAGATTCTAAACCAATGATTATTGGGAGCATAAATATGTCTAAACATAAGCCTCCTTTCTCAGCCCTCACAATTCCTTAAGGCAGTGGTTCTCAAGCATTAGCTTGTATCAGAATCACCTGGCAGGCTAGTTAAAACACAAACTGCAGGACCCTGTGCCCAGTTTCTAAGTCACCAAGTCCGGGGTAATACCTAATTTGCCTTTCTAACAAGTTCCCAGGTGATGTTGATGTTGCTGGTCTGGGAATCACACTTTGAGAACTGCTGCCTTAAGGCAATATTACACATCTAGACTAGTTAAAATACCATCTTGACTAAAAAGAGTTTATAGTTTATAAAAAAAAACAGTTTATAGTTTGGGGCATTCTACTCCAAAACAATGAGAATCACAGAAATGATATAATCCAATGCTATCAAAGCTTTGAAAAGACAAGTACCTTCAAATGCAGTACTTAAATTAGTACAAATTTTACTAGGCACAATCAAGTAAAATGTTAAGAAGAGCCATAAGAATGATAAGTAATCCTACTTTCCTAAGAAATAATTCAAAGGAAAAAAAACTTATCTGTGCCAAAATATTCCCTCAACATTACTTATGACCACAAGAGCTGGAAATTATACCAATGCCAAACAACTGAAAAATAATCATACAAACTACAATATACTGAGTAAATGGACTATTACCTGACCATAAAAATGAAGTCTATCATATTATACATGGAAAAGTGGAAACAAAGTATTTAAACGACAAAAGTGGAACACAAAACTGATCACAACAACATATATTTACTGAAAGTAGCCTCAATAAATGCAATATATAAGTTGAAGGAACGAGATATTTCAGACACAACATTTTTAGATGATATTCTAAAGTAGTCAAAATATTTTACAGAATGTTAAAGTAATCTCTGGTCTACAGATTATGGTGACCATCTAACTCACTGAAGATTATATTTAATATTTATGAAGTAAATACTTTTAAGAAAACATTAAAAGTAGAAAAATGGTTAAGAAAATTTATTTAAAGTTCTCCGATAGTACTTCTTTAAAACTGTAGTCTGAAGAAGGGAAACTTAGTAACTTACTATGTTGGGCAGAGCTAGTAAAATTCTTAAACCAAATGTGCAGAGTAGTAAAAGCAACAGAAATTATACTTAGAAAAAAAGAATTGGGAACCAGAGTCTAATAATAATCTAAAAAAAATCTATTGGAAAATTAATCTAATCACATGGGAAAAACACATAACTGTTGGAAATATTGACTTTTAAAGTGGATAACTTACTGTTTTGATTCATTGTGACAAACTTCCAAGGTTGGATCATTATAAATAAAAGCAGCTTCTAAATCATTGATCCTTACTCGGTATATTCTACACTGTTTGCTGTTCAACTTGATTCTATTCAAGTTCGCAACTGTGGGAAATATAGTCAGTTCCACAAATCCCTGTAAAGATAAAGAAAGATAACTTCATTACAATTAAGATTGGTATGTTTTAGAACACATTTCTTTGATTTCTACTACTTATACACATACCACTCCAGAGACAGAATCCCAAATAGCTGCATACATACAAGTGCTCTCCAAGTATCTTCATTTCAAACATGGTTGTCCTAGTGATTGAATGGGTGTGAATTATGTATACCTTATGCTGGTGGTTCACACTCACTATCAGTGAAAATTAGGCCATCTGCTAGAAAGAAATTAAAGGACCCACTACTCTCAAATATAAGAATTTCTAGACAGGGAGGAAGGAAAAGAAAATGACAGCAGAAAGAGAATCAAAACCAGGTCAGTGAGTGAAAGAACATGGCCCCCTACACCACCAAAGCTAACAAGTATGAGTCTCTGCTCATGGAGGTAAATCAGGACATGTGAAGCAGACAGAGCCACATGAGATACTCAGGCAAGGAGGGAAAATCTATTGCTGCCTTCAACAGCAGCAGATACTTCAAAGTGCTGGCTGATTGCCTACCAAGTGGTCCCAGAGGCCATATATAGTTCTACCATGTCAGCTGTGTGGTGAGTGACGTATCTGAAGCATGCACCTAAGATATAAGAGACAACTAAATACACTGACCACCCACCACCCTCTTGTGTTGAATCAAATGGGAAAGACGGACCAATGAAACATGGAATATAAGTCCAGTGAGTTTAATACCCTAGGTTGAAAACTGATGTACTCAAACACAAAATATGGGAGAGCATGAAATAGTAACATTTCAGGGGCTGCCAAGTGAACAGAAAAATTTCAGAGGCTGCAATAGGAATATCTAAGATGAAATTCAGGCAATAACCTTAGAGAACTAGATTATAACAATTTAAAATGGCTACTACTTAAGGAGCACTATTATATGCCAGACAACACACTAGATACTTTCATCAATTCTCTCTAATCCCAGTAAGAACTTTAAAAGATAAGCACTACTTTATACTTTTCACAGATAAGTTAACACAGTTAAGAAAATTATGGGCCGGCCTGGTGGCATAGTGGTTAAACGTGTGCGCTCCACTTTGGCAGCCTGAGGGTTCTCAGGTTCAGATCCCCGGTGCACCGATGCACTGCTTGTCAAGCCATGCTGTGGCAGTGTCCCATATAAAGTAGACGAAGATGGGCACGGATGTTAGCCCAGGGCCAATCTTCCTCAGCAAAAAGAGAAGGATTGGCAACAGATGTTAGCTCAGGGCTAGTCTTCCTCCCCAAAAAAAGGGGGGGGTGCCGACCCGGTGGTATAGCGGTTAAGTGCGTGTGCTTCACTGCAGCGGCCCGGGGCTCGCATCCCAGACGTGCACTGACGCACTGCTTGTCAAGCCATGCAGTGGTGGCGTCCCATACAAAGTGGAGGAAGATGGGCAGATGGGCACAGATGTTAGCTCAGGGCCAGTCTTCCTCAGCACAAAAAAGAGGAGGATTGGTGACAGATGTTAGCTCAGGGCTGATCTTCCTCACAAAAATAAAAAGAAAATTATACCATTAATAAGTGGAGATCTGAAATTCAAACCCACATCTAAATGATCCCAATTGATTCCCACTATGCCATAATGTCTCTCAGTACAAGCCTTTTAAATAATAAATATCCGAGAATTTTTTTTAGATAATATTCAGCCCAACTACCCAAAAACCTAGAGATTCTGCAACCCCTTTTCTCCCAATTCCCAAATAAGAGGAGAGCCATACATCCTTAAATTAGACCATCTGGACAGCTCCATGTGGAAGCAAATGAGAATAAAGAGCAAAGGCAAAAAACCGTTGATGAAATCTCTGCATTTAAAGGTGTAAACTGTGAGCAATCGTAGGCAGACCCCAATTCCCTTAATTAGCATATCAGCTATCCAATGACCCATCTACACAAATGAACTTGGATTAGCTGAAAGACAGCAAGCAGAACCAAATAATGTCAAAAAAGATTATGGAAAAGCTGTCAACAGTTAGCTACATAGGTGGAACATAAGAACAGGATTTGGCTTTCTAAACTAAGGTTAATAATAAAAAAACAGTGAACGTAGTGTATTTCATGAAGATGGGAAAAGCCCAGTCTAGGTGTATCATCAGGTCTCTGGCACCACCTAGAGCCCTAACCTATATCTGCCTGCAACACTCAGACCCATTAATTGGCCTCCAGTCTCTCTCATCCTTAGCCACCGGCACAATTGCAAGCCCCGAGGGTCATCTAACCTCTCACTTTCATCATCTTCTTGCTCTCTCCCCACCACTTCAAAGCTGACCATCCTCCTAGAGCCCCCGTCCCATTTTAAGTAACCTCCCCTGTGCCACTCAACTTTTTCAAAAATTCCTTCTCCATCTTCTAGCATTAGATGAAATGTCTCTTGAATCCCCCTTGACAAGAAGCTACTTTTTCTTTCATTCACTATAAATTAAAGGAGGGGAAACCAGGAAATCTCCTAGTTTCCACTGCTACTTAGACATTTACAGGATTTTATAGAGCATACACTAGAAGAACAAGGGCAGTACAGTCATTGCTAAATACATGTGTTCTGGAGGTAGACTGCCTGCATTCAAATCCTAGCTCCACCACTTAGTATAATCTTGGGCTAAGTTACTCTAGCTCTCTGTGCCTCAGTTTCCTCAACTATAAAACAAGAATAATGACACTACCTACCTTTTGGTGTTATTATGACAATTGAGCAATTTAATATATGGGAAGCACTTAAAATCATAGCTGGCATCTAATAAATGCCTAATAAATGTTTTCTTATTCTTTTCCACTTCTGTTCCTTTGGGTTCATGCCATACAGGTACACGATTTCTCTTCCTCTTCAATAATATCTCCCAAATTCCCCAACATTTATTGAAGACTCATACTCTCCTTTTCTAACCTATCTCTGCCATCACTCTTAAGTGACTTGAATGTAGATGTATCTGATCCACGCAGTAACAATGCTTCAAAGCTCCTTGACTTCAATTTCTATGATCTGCACTTCCATTCCAGGACAGCAATTAAGATCGCACTCTGAAAGACACCTCATTGCTGCTCAGAATTGCTCTGATGCTGACATTTTAAACTTGAATGTCCACAATGTTTATCCTTTTGCCCCTCATTACTTCTCTCCCAGTCCTGTTCAACCACGTGAAATTCTCTTGTTCCCTGACCTCCTCCAGTTTCTCACTACGATCCTTTCCTGGCACAAATAATTGAACAATGCAAAAGTAAAGAAGGTTTTGGAGAATAATGGTGAATTATCAGAAATTTGCCAATCACAACCATGTCTGCAGATGTAGTATTTTTACTGCAGCAAATCAGCTCAGCTCTCGGTAACTAGTATTCAACTAATTATCAAGCAAATACTTTTTTCGCCAATTCTTATCATGAAAAGAAAATCAGAAGCAGGTTGCCTTCAAGACAGCAGAACCCCTTCACTGTCATCTAATAGCTAATAACGATATCAACTATCCTGCTCAGTCATACTCCAAAAGTCCCTTGATTGCAGGAGAGCCCATAGAGAATTACAATGGTATATTATACTGACAACATTATGCTAATTGGATCTGGTGAGAAGGGAAGAGCAAGTTTTCTAAATGCCTTAATAAAAAAGATATGCAGTGTGCAACTATGACATACAACTATCTACTGGGGCTTTGGGGAGAAAAAAGGAAAAAAAAGGAGGAGGATTGGCAATAGATGTTAGCTCAGGGCCAGTCTTCCTCAGCAAAATGAGGAGCATTGGCATGGATGTTAGCTCAGGGCTGATCTTTCTCACCAAAAAAAAAAAAGATATGGGGGCCAGCCCCATGGTGTAGCAGTTAAGTGCGCGCGCTCCACTGCAGTGGCCCGGGGTTCGGATCCTGGCGCACACCGATGTACAGCTTGTCGGGCCATGCTGTGCCAGCGTCCCATATAAAGTAGAGGAAGATAGGCAGAGATGTTAGCCCAGGGCCAGTCTTCCTCAGCAAAAAGAGGAGGATTCGCATGGATATTAGCTCAGGGCTGTTCTTCCTCACAAAAAAATAAAATAAAAAAATGAAAAAGATATGGATGGCAGAGGAAGAGAGTTAAATCCTATGCAAGTTCAGGGGCCTGTCAACTCTATAAAGCTGCTCAGGTTCCAGTGGTCTGAGGAATAAAAAACAGACCTTCTAAAGTGAAAGATAAGTTGCTTCATTGTGCACTGCCCACTAAGGTGGGAAAAAGAGAGGCACAAAACTTGGTGGGCTTCTTTGGATTCTGGAGGCAATATATACATTCGGGCATACTGCTTAGGCAACCTCTAAGGTTGTGAGCTTTGAGAGGGGTCCAGAGCAAGAAAAGGTTCTGCAGCAGGTCCAGGCTGTGCTTCAAGCTGCCCTGACACTTAGGCCTTATGACTCAGCATATCCAACAGTATTGGAAATGTCCATGGCAGACAGAGATGCTTTATAGATTCTGGCTTTCTCCAACAGAATGACAGTGCACATTCCTGGGGCTTAGGGATAAGGACATGACCTCTTCTGCCAACAACTGTTTTCCATTTGCAAAGCAATCACTGGTTTGCTGCTAGACTCTGCAGTTGAGACTGAACACATGACCAGAGGACTCCCAAAGACTATGTCACCTGAAATGGCCATCCTAAACTGAGTATAACACGAAGATCTGAAAAATAAAGCTGGGCGTGTGCAGCAGCTTTCCACTTTTCAATGGAAACAACACATCTGGACCAAGCCCCAGCAGGTTCATAAGGCACAAGCAACCAGCATGAGCAGGTGACTCAGAATCCAGTGGGACTTGCTCCCACTGCTTCTCCACCTCTCCTTCAATCCAGACCTATGGCCTCATGGAGAGTTCCCCACTCTTAGTTAACAGAACAAAGCACAAGCCTGAATTATGAATAAGTCTGCAGAGGACGCTGGCACCACTTGGAAATGGATGGTAGCTGCCATCAGAATCCCACTGAAGTGTGGCCCTGAAAGACAGTGGAAGAAAATCCTATAGTGGGCAGAACACTGGTAGATACATCGAGTTGTATACTCTTCGTAGAAGTAGAGATGACCTGAAGTACACATCTACACTGACCCACGGGCATTTGCTAATGGGTTGGCAAGCTGGCTAGAGACTTGGAAAGAACAAGATTAAATAATGAAAATAAGATGGTGGGAGAATTAAGTTTATGAAAGGATTTCTCAGAATAGGTATAATATGAAAATATTCATCTTATTATCACATAAATGACCATCAGAGGGCATCTATTGCAGAAGGGGCCCTCAAAAATCAATTGGCAAGATTATCTATTCAGTAGATATCATAGACTCTTTTCCTAGCCACCCTGCTTAATATACAAAGTGATCATGGTGGCAAGAACGGAGGCTATGCATGAGCCCAAAAACATGGTCTTCCTCTCACCAAGGCTGATCTGGCCACCACCATTGGTGAGTGCCCACCACCCAATAGCAGAGGATCATAGTAAGCTTCTAATATGGGACCTTCCCAGGGAGGATCAGTTAGGCAGCTGGTAGAGAAATGACTACATTAGACAGCTTGCATCACGGTGGGGGACAGTGATTTGTCCTTACAAGAACAGACACATATTCTCGATTTTCCTTCCCTAACTACAATCTTACAGAAAGCCTTACATATCATTGCAGTATCCCATACACGCCCCCAACCAAGTGTATAGGGAAGTGTGGCAGTGGGCTCTTACACACAAAATTTACTGGTTTTATCTTGTGCCCTATCAGCCAGAAGCAGCTAGCATGATCTACTGCTGATGGCTGTTACAGCACCAATTGAGAGACTGCTAATAGGATGTCTTAAACTAGTGGACAATATATAGGGTTATCTCTCCATAGCCAAAATAGATCTGGGAAGCAACTGGGAATGACTATTTTCACTACTGCACCAAAAAAGCCACTGAAAGAATTCTTGCTTCCTGTCTTTGTGACTTGGGTTCAGTGTATTTGGAGGTTCTAGTGGCTATGGAAGGAATGCATCCACCAGGGCACATAGTCATAGTTCAATAAAATTGGAAGCAGAGACTGTCCCTTGATCACTTTGGGCTCCTCATGCCACTGAACCAAGAGGCAGAGAAAGGGGTCACTGTACTAGCTGGAATGACTAATCCCAATTATCAAACAGGAACTGAGGTTCTGCTAAACAATAAGGACAAAAACTGTATCTGGAATCCAGGGGATTCACTGGAATGCCTCTTAGGTCTCACTAGACTAACAGTCTTAGTAAGTGGAAAACTGCAACAACTCAATAAAGACAGGACAAGCAAGGATGCAGATCCTATAGGAATGGAGGTCTAGGTCAGACCAAAAGAATTGCTGGCAAAGAAGGGAAAAATGGAATGTGCGGAGGAATAAGGAAGCTGTATATATCAACTCTGGCCTTGACACCACCTAAAGAAAGGAGGGGCTGTAGCAATTAAGTTTCACATTCTTTTACCCGCTTTTCTTTCCACTATCTTGTAGGAAAGATACTGGGGGTAGCTAATATTTTAGGAGGGAATAGTGCTGAACTGCCATTTCCTCACATTAATACATCAGTTCAGGGAAACTTCTCCTTAAGGGCCAGATGGTAAATAGGCTTTAAGGGCTACACAGCTTCTGTCACAGTTACTCAACTCTGCCATTGTAGCTCTGAAGCAACCATAGAAAATATATAAACAGGTGTGGCTGTGTTCAAAGAAAACTTTACTTACAAAAACAGGTAGTTGGCTATTGCCAACCCCTACAATAGCTGATAGGACTTCATTAGGTCCCCTGTGCTGGGAACACTAGTTTTTCACCTCAACAAAAGACAAGAGAGGAAGTTTTGGGGCTAAAAGGGTAGACTGTTCTAGATATCCTCCTTTTGCCCCTCCTAATCCACTCTCCAGCCTACTCCGTATCCCAGGGGTTACATTAAATGAGCACCAGCCCTCTGGCTTCTGGTTGGGTTGGTCAAATGGGAGGCACAAAGAGGAAACTGAAGAGCAGAAGGAACTTGAGTTCATTATGTTTATTCTCCCAGGTTCCTCTCTGTCAGGCTGAGGGAGGCAGTAGCTTCATTCTTCTACCAAAGGCCATAGCTCCTGTAAGATGACTCTTTCCTACAGCCACAGTAGGTTCTGGTAAACTTTCCTTTCCTTTGTTCTTTCAGGTTTAGAAGTGGTTCCTCGTTGCTAACCTAGGGTGCTCCTCCACCTCTTGGTTTCTCTTAACCCTGTTTGTTCTAAGTAGTCCCTTCATTACTTCCCCTCAACTAACCTGTATGAATGTGCCATTTGTTTCTTCACAGGATGCTAACCCATATACCACTTAACCAATTTTTCCAGTAGGAAACCTAAAAATCATCCACATGGATGCTCTTTTCTTGCATCCCAGTAAGAGTCATCTACAATTCCTTTCTATCATTTTGCCAGGGGTAGAGGAGGTAAAGATGGGGAACAATAGACAGGAAGGAGTTGCAGATGACTCTTAGGTCATCCTTGATTAAAAATGGCTCAATAGGGCCGGCCCCATGGCTTAGCGGTTAATTGCTCGTGCTCCGCTACTGGCGGCCCAGGTTCGGATCCCGGGCGCGCACCCACGCACCGCTTGTCTGGCCATGCTGCGGCTGCGTCCCACATACAGCAACTAGAGGAATGTGCAACTATGACATACAACTATCTCCTGGGGCTTTGGGGAAAAAAAAAGGAGGATTGGCAATAGATGTTAGCTGAGAGCCGGTCTTCCTCAGCAAAAAGAGGAGGATTAGCATGGATGTTAGCTCAGGGCTGGTCTTCCTCACAAAAAAAAAAAAAAAAATTAAAATGGCTCAATCACTTGCTAAGTTCCTGGCCTTAAGAAAGTTACTTAGCCTCCAGCTGCTTTATTTATAAAAATAAGGATTAAAATAGTATCTACCTCATGAGGGTTATTATGAAGATTAAGTGAGGTCATAGACACAAAACCTCAAAAGACAGTTTTACATGTAGTACATACTTAATAAACATTCACTGTAATTCAGTCAATCATGTCAACTCTATTTCTATGCCATTTCACTAATGATATCTTCATTCAGGGCTTCATCATTTCTCCCCTAGATTATTATAGTAACCTCTTAACTAGACTCCCTAATTCTCCTATCTTCCCTACCCAGTTCACCGACACAACATACCTAAAGTATCCTTCTATGAGGTATAAGGTAAATAATCATGTGTAAGGAATACTGTAAGAGAAATTCCTTAAATGAAGAGAATGCACTTAATGAACCTTTAAGGATCCTTATAAACCTAAAATTCTATGCTTGTTATGAAAAGGTTACATTTTTTATCTATACAGCTCATCTTAAGTAAACAAATTTGAGAGGGAAGTTGATGCCATCACACAAAGAAAAACCAGCTCTCACTAAGGCTTTGGTCTATTAAATACAGAGTGAATTAAGTACTTGGGCAGTCAAGGACTTTCCTAGAACGGATTATATCAGTAATCCATTCATCTTAATGGGGGGGGGGGGGGAATGTGGCCAGAGTACTAGATTTCAAAGACCGTATCTTCATTACAAAGCAATGTTACCTAAACTAGGTCAGCCAAGAATCAGAAAACAAAATTGGCCTCTTATCAGCCAAGATAAGTCAGTGTGTGCACTAACTTTATTTTTTCATGCTCGAAATCTCACTATGGGTTTATTCTTGTTTCATGCACAATTCCAAAATGCTTGGTAACACAAACTTTCATATTCCACAACAGATTAAAAGGAATAAAATTTTAATCAGGAAATAGGAAAAAAAAAAAAAAGGTAAGGGAGAATTGAGCAGGCAGCCAGTATAGCAGCAAGGCTATGGACCTTGGAGTCATACAGAGCTGAATTCTAATTTTTTCCTATTCTGGAAACACAGTTATCTGGAAAGGAAAATTTCTAAGCATTGTAAAGGGTGGACTTCTTACTGCTTGTAATTGTTGAGAATATACTTACCACAACAGATTTTCTCTGGAAGTTTATGTTGTTGATGCAGACGACCTGATGGGTTGTACATAAAAAAATATAAATCAAAATAAAGAAAATATTTCTATTATTAAATGAAGCATAATTATGCAAGTATAAGGAAGCACTACGTTCTAAGCAGCTCAAAAATCACATTTTATCTTTCATTGTAAAATCCCACAAATTGGGATAACTTTTAAATTTAGCAACATGGGCCGGCCCCGTGGCTTAGCGGTTAAGTGCGCATGCTCCGCTGCTGGCAGCCCGGGTTCGGATCCCGGGCGCTCACCGACGCACTGCTTCTCCGGCCATGCTGAGGCCGAGTCCCACACACAGCAACTAGAAGGATGTGCAACTATGACATACAACTATCTGCTGGGGCTTTGGGGGAAAAGAAATAAAAAAAAAAAAAATTTAGCAACAGCCACGAAAACAGGTTTCTTTGGACAAAAATATAGTTCAGTATTTTAAGAAAAAGATTTATTAACCCGCAATGGGCACTAAATCTCGTGAATAACACTGTCATTCAAAGCATTTTTGCCCTACAAATACCACTTCCATCACACTGGGAAGGTTCTAGTTTCCCAGACCCACCAAGTCCGTTTCAAGCAATCACAAAATATAACTAATGAAAACAAAATCCAGAAGAGCAAAGGGGGATGAAAAAATACTTATAATTTATACGGCCTGGGGCTTTCAAAGCCCTTGTCTCCTTTCTTCCTGTTCATTCTGGCGGGCTCTAAACCAGTGGGCGGCATGAAGCGATCCCGCGGAATTCGGCTTCCCGGCTTCCCCGGGGGCTGCGGGGCATCACCGGCGTCCGACACCTCACACTCCCCGCTCCCCCAGGCTCCCAACAGTCACGCCCCGCGGCCGGGGCTCCCTCGGCGCCCAAGCCCGGCCCCGCCCGGTCCGCCGCCGTCGCCTCAAACTCGCTCCCCGACTGGGCTTCTCTCAGCCGCCTTCGCGGAGCTCCTATCACGGAGATGTTCCTCTCACCAACCGCTCACAGCCACCGACAGCCGACATCTTGCTTGTCACCTGTGACCTCTGGCGTCAGCGGAAGTGGGGCGGTGAAAGGGGGCGAAACCGGAAGCTTTCTGTTGGTGGGCGGGGCTTACGCGATAACGCTGGGGTTTTGTGTTTGCTTTTCCGTGTACCTAGAGTGGGTGAGAACTGTTGAAATTTAGGAAAGCCAAGACAGGTATGTATTGGGTGAGCAGAGAAGAGGAGGAGGGAAAGGAGGGAACATTTAAATTTGGGGGGAATAAAGGTCTAGCGCAAGCGCATTGAGAAGTATGGGACCAAGAATTGCAAAGTGAGGGACTGGGAGCTAATGAAGGGGGAGTCTCCTGAAACCAGGCGGAGGGGTGTGCCTCTGGTTTATTGTGTGAACAGACACCATAAACTCCCTGGACCCCAGTAATTTAAGCTGTAAAATGTGTGATTAGACCCCAGGTAGTCTCATTCAAATTGAGCACTGCTCAGTATTTATTTTAAAAAATAGTAATCACATAGATGCAGAAAAATTTATTGACAGATTTTTTTTTTTTTTTTTTTTTTTTGAGGAAGATCAACCCTGAGCTAACATCCGTGCTAATCCTCCTCTTTTTGCTGAGGAAGACCGGCTCTAAGCCCTGGTACATAGTTGTCTATTCTAGTTGTAAGTTCTTCTAGTTCTATGTGAGCCACTGCCACAGCGTGGCTACTGACAGATGAGTGGTGTG